TAATAAACACATTCAGACTTCAGAGAAAACAGAGTAACAACAAGGAGCCAAGTTATGTGGCCAAAACAAGTGCAGGCAGCTCACCTGTGCATGACGTAATGCCACATGAAGAAGAACGTATCAAACAAGAGAAAACACGCCACGACCTCCACACAGAGCCGCCGGCAGGAGGGGGCCAGCTCCGGGACCCGGGGGCTCCTCAGCAGCTGCAGCAGCATCGTGGCGGGAAGCACCACCGTTATGTACCTGARCAGGACCCGACAGAAACACTCCAACCACCGGCGGAGGGACGGGGGCGGGCCCGAACCCGCGGCTATCCTCCACGACCGCACGCGGGCGCTGACGCTGCCCAGCACGTCGAGCGCGAGGAAAGGTGCGCAGAACAGCACGTGCGTCAGGAAGGCGCAGGACGCAGACAGGTGAGGGGCCAGCAGGATCTCCTCCTGCCGCGCTCTCACGCACTCCCATAGGCCCTGCAGGAGTGGCGCGTGCSTGTGTCCAGCCTCCATCACGGCTACATGTCACGCGCACGGCTTCTCTTTGATCTTGTCTGCAGATTTCCTCTCCTGCTGCTGCTGCTGCTCCGCGGACTGAGGCAGGAGGCAGATGGTGCTGAGGAACATAATGTCTCCGCTCCTTGCAGGAGGAGGGGCCCCGGGCCYCCTTTATGTCCTGTGGTTTATGCAGTTTAATTACTCTCTTCTGGATGAGTTGGCAAATCCCCATGTATACATGAGATGAACGCAAATACTAAAGAAGTGAAAACTGTTAGTTGGAAATGTAGGGGATTTCAGGACAGGAGGACTGTCACATCATCAGAACCTTAAACCATCTGTTATCTAATCTAATGTCACTGTTGCTTGGCTGCTGAATTCCTGATAAATTTCAGAAAACAAGTGGAAGATAAGTTTCCAACCCATGTAAAAGCAACTAAACACAGCAGCTGTGTTACCTGCAGACAGGATCAAGCTTGTTAGAGATTTCAGCTGAGATAATTATATTTATGGTGTGGTGGAGGAACTCTGTCAGCATCTCCCTATAACTCTATATGTAGTGATGACTTCATGAGATTCTTTATAGATAAAATAATATTAATAAGGAATAAAATTCATGCCAAACTTCCTGCTACTGTCTCTGATTCAGACGAGGCCGTTTTAGTGTCACTACTGATTTATGTCTGGACAGTTTTTGTCCTGTTCATCTCTCTGAATTATCTAAAATAATAGCTTCATCCAAACCATCAACATGTCTGTTAGATCCCATCCCAACCAGACTGTTCAAAGAAGCATTTCCCTTAATTAATATCCATATTTTAGATCTACTTAATTTATCTCTAATGAATGGTTATGTGCCGCAAAGCTTTAACGTTGCTGTAATTAAACATTTACTTAAGAAACCTGATCTTGATTCAGGAGTTCTGGCCAACTATAAAACTATATCTAATCTCCCATTTATCTCAAAAAATCCTTGATAAAATAGTTGCAAATCAACTATGTGAACATCTGGATAGAAATAATCTATATGAGGAG